CCCATGGCTGTAGAGAAACACTGCCAGCACCAAATACTCACATTAATAAAAACAAGTCACTGTGGCTGTGGAGATGGTAGGACAGTTAAAGACACTTGTTGTCAAGCCTGACTACCTGAGTTTCAGCCCAGGGACACAAGCGGTAGGAGAGAAGAGACAACTCCTACAAACTGTCCTCAGACTTCTACACACACAGTAGAATGATAGTGTCCAAACACACACACACACACACACACACACACACACACACACACACACACACACACACACTAAAAAGAGTTTTGAGAATCGTGTTTTGGGGCTGGAGAGATAGCTTAGCAGTCAAGAGCATGTACTGCTCTCAAAGAGAGGCCAGGTTTGGTTCCTAGCACCCATTTCACAAGTCTTACAACCACCTATGACTCTTCCTCCAGGGGAGCCTATGCTTCTGGCCTCCTTAGGCATTTATACTCGTGTACATAGCCTCTACCAAGACTCATAGACATAACTAAAAGAAATGTATTTTAAAAACAAACAAACAAAATTTGAGACATCTTCCAAACAAAACAACCTAAATGTCTGTCCTAGTTAGAGAAGCTGCAGCTCTCTAACAGACACGGCATTTCTCTGCAGTATCCAAGAGTGCAGAGCCTACTGTGGGAAAACAGTGCCCTCTGCCGTAGGCAGCCAGGGAATGTGCAATGATCTGCGAATGTCCCACAGAGCAAAATGCCAGAGTGTGTAGAATATCTGTTTCATGTTTAAAAACAACGCAATGCAGGTGTGTCTGTGAATATATCTTACACACTCCAGAGTCACACACAAAAGATGGCAGCTATAGTTGCCTCTGGGGAAGAAAGCTTAAGTGTGTAAAACTAGACACAAAGCTTTGGCAGTACCCCTAGACAAACACCCTCACCCCAAACCGCCATAACAGAACTACTGGATAATAAATAAATCTTGCAAGGACACAGACATACTAGAATCTTACCATAGCTCAGAGTTGTCTTCGCTGCCAAAAAGGAAGCTGCTGCTGGGAAGGTATTTCGAGAGAGCTGCCTAGACAGGAAATGACCTGGAAATTGGGGGGAAAGGAGCCTTTTAAACAGTAATGCCTATAAAATAGTAACACTTACAGAATAAAAGGACTAAGACAAAGAGTAGGCCATCTCTGGGCTCCATGACCACTTGCCAAGTAGCTGACACGGCACCTCATCTTTGCCCCTCACCCTCAACTCAACCCAGTTTTCAAGTCTTGTGAAATCTCTTTGGGTGTCAAGTCATCTGTCATCTGCCCTGTGCTGTCCTTGCTGGTCCTTCTTTGCTAAGGCCTCCTGGTCACTGAGGCACAGGATAACCCAACTCCTACCAGGTTTCCCTAATCCCTATCTAACTCAGCATCTTCCCATGGTCAGATCTAGGCACTCACAGCCCTGACAGAGTCTTCCTTGGCTCCCTCCTGCTCTAAAGATCAAAGGAAAACTCCTCAGCACAAGGTGGAGCAATGGCTTGTGCTTATGATCCCAGGACTCAATAGAGAGGAGGCTCTGGACTTCAAGACCAGCTTAGGCTCCATACATGAGACCCTCTGTCAAAACAATCCCTGAGCACATCCTGCAGGCTGGCCACATGGCCCAGGCTTCCACTCCAGTCTCATGCTGCCCCTCCCTCTTTCCTACACCCTCCTTCTAGCCTCACCAGATCTGAATCAGTTCTGAACTGACCCTGCTCTGGCAGACTTATTTCCCAGATTCATTGGCACATGGTATACCGTAACTTCCTCAGAATAGAAACATTCCCTTCAGGAAAGTGGGAGAGGCCCTGCACCGTCTGGTGCCCACCAATCTTTCACTTAGTGTGGTGTTCTAGCGTAGACTCTGATAGCATTGGTAAGAAAACTGATATATGGAAACATCTGGATAGTAACACTCGAATGAAGTTAAAGCCTACCTCATATTATATATAGAAACTAACCTCCAAATTGGCCAAAGGATTAAAGGTAATAGTCAAAACTAAAAATTTTAAAAGAAAACAGTGGTAAATGATCACAACCTTGGGTTTGGTAACTATTTCTTAGATATAACACCAAAAGCACACACTACCAGGACGGGGAGGGGAAAAAATTCAGATAAATGAGACCACCAAAATTTCAAATTGGTGTGTTGTTTTCAAGGCTAAAAACAGTTCAGTAGTAGGGCGTTTGTCTAGCAGGTACTAGGCCCTGAGTTTTCAAAATCAAAAACTTGTGTTTCAAAGAACACTATCTATGTCAGATACAGTGGTTCAAACATATGATTCCAGCATTTGAAAAGCTGAGGCAGACAGAACACTGTGAGTTTGAGGCTAGACCACATTCACAGTGAGATCCTGGGGCGGGGGATCGTCTTAAAAATCAATTTAAAAAAATGTTTCGTAGCCATGAGAGTGGCACATGCCCAGCATGCACAAGGTCCTAGCAGAAGTGTCTACCTTTGGGATCTAACGTGACACAGACCGATAATCCACAAAGTTCATGGTCAAGAAACACACAAATCAAGTCACACACACAATCTTACAATGTTTTAAAGACACTTACAGTATTCAACTGGACCACACTCACAGCTAACCTCAGGCCACAGGCTGGACATGCCTGTACGCAAGTTCAATCCTCAGTGTACACGAATGTACGAGTACACACACACACACACACACAGAGAGAGAGAGAGAGAGAGAGAGACAGACAGACAGACAGACAGACAGACAAAGATTTGAACAAACATTTCTTCAAGAACATACACAAATAGTTAATAAGCACATGAAAACAAACTCATTAGAAATTAAAGTAACAAAATTAGTACACTGTACATCATTAGCTTGGCTATCTGAATAGAACAGATAATAACAAGTGTTGGCAATGAAAAACTGGAACCCCTACATTGTGGTGGGGCTGTAAACGGCACAGGTACTTGTCAGTTCCTTAGCTAAACATGGAGCTATCATTTCAACTAGCAATTCTACTTCCTGGAAATATACACAAGAGCAGATGGACATGGGCACAAAGAAAAACACGGCTCTCAGATATTTAAACAATAGTCCTGACAGCCAGAGATGGAAACAGCTCAAATGTCCATCAACCAACCAACAGATAAACAAAATGTGGTATACTGACACATGAGTATTATTTTGTCACAAGCAATATGGGACCAGTATGTCACCATGTGGATAAATCTTGACAACACTGCATTTATGGAAGAAGCCAGTCACGGAAACCAGGTATCTTTTGATTCTATTTATTTAGAAAAATGCCCAGAACAGGCAAGCTATAGACAGATGGGAAATAGAACGATAGCTGCTTATTGTGGAGGGCTATTGAGAGACTGAAGGGGACAGACACAACAGTTAAAAAGTAGTTTTCCTTCAAAAAGAATCACTTAAGTGTACACTTCAGATGGGTAACTTTTTTTTGTTTGTTTTGTTTTGTTTTGTTTTTCGAGACAGGGTTTCCCTGTGTAGCTTTGGAGGCTGTCCTGGAACTAGCTCTGTAGACCAGGCTGGCCTCGAACTCACAGAGATCCGCCTGCCTCTGCCTCCCGAGTGCTGGGATTAAAGGCGTGCGCCACCAACGCCCGGCCAGATGGGTAACTTTTATGGTATTAACTTATGTCAATAAAGCTGGTACCCCAAAGAGAGGGGAGTTACACAAAGTAGGGGAGGAGGCTTGGAGCAAGGCATCGGTGGTTGCAAAATTCTAAATCTTAAGCTATGAACACGTTTCTCACCTCTGTGTGTTGCAATTCCCTCATCTATAAAACAAGAATAACGAGACGGAGTCTGACAGTAAACAACTAAGCCAGCATTTAGAAGCTGCGATATGAGACATAAATTGGGAGACTACAGTGAGACTTCCGTCTCTAAAACAAAAAGGCGGACAGGGGTGGTGGTGGTGGTGGTGGTATGAGAATACAACAGAATCATAAAAGCACTGTGAGGAGGAAATGGAGGGATAAAATCATGAATAGCTTAAGTTTGTTTTTGGCACACGGGTAAACCCTTGCGATGGAAGGTTGCAACCCATTATTCGACAGAGGCCTTAAGGAGATAGTTTCAACACTGGCAAAATAAACAAAGGCTCACATCACATACTCCAAGTGATTTCAGGTCAAATATTGCAACAAAATTAACTTTCAGGACCTGGGGGGTGGGCTTAATCAAAGAGCACACTGTCGATCGCGAAGCCATTCCTACAGCCCAACTAAGAAGGGCTGGAGAAAAGCGGTGACAGGCAAACGGATCGGCCCAGACGCTAAACTGCCAGCTACTAAATCTAACAGACTCGGCAAGAGGGCGATCCTTCAGTTTAGAGCTTCGCTGGCGGCACTCAGCCCCGAAGCCGAGGTTGACATCACCCTGTGAACAATAGGTGATGCTTGTCCGAGCGGTTTTTCTGACTGAAAACACAGAGTCCAGGTCGCTTCCCATGATCTCAGGCCGCGCGACCCAGAGAAGGAGAGAAGGTGCGTAAGGTCACACAGCCTGCCTGACCCTAATGGGAGACCGGGATCAGGGGCCCGGCCACTGCTCGAGTCCCTTGACCCGGAATTTCGCAGACCCGAGGGAAAGCACCATGCTCGCACACGCTTACAGTCCGGGTCCCAGCACTTACCTGCCGGCACACTACACAGTGCAGGGAGACAGCACACAGAGCGTACGGCCGCCGCCATGCTGGGGCCGGAGCAGCGACGCTGCCTGTCTCTGGGACCGCCTTCCCCACCGCCTGCCGCGACCGGCTGCGACCGCGCCTCGTGAGACGTCCGTCATCAGCTCAAAGCGGTGGGCTGAGACTCGAGGGTCACCGATCAGTGCACACGGGGGTCGAGAAATTGTCCACATCGACCAAAAAAGAAATTGAGTCAGGCTCAGCCACGGACAGCTTCTCAGGGGTCCTCGCTCTAGGACCCCAGGCAGGGGCGGGGAGAGGGCGGGGCTAGCTCTGACTCCTATCACAAGTAATAGCCAAATCTGTCAGGTCCAACCAATGGCTGGCGTGTCCTGGAAAACCGCGTTCTGTTGAGCCAGTAGACAGGCTGGGAACATCTGGAAAGACCTAGAGAGGCGAGTGAAGGAAACAAAGCTTAGGAAATTTGTACCCAACTTCAGTAAAGGCCCAAAGTTTATTGAACAGTACGTTCATTTTGGTTTCAGATGCACTCGTGTATTCATGGTAGAAATTGTTCACACACGCACGCCCAGCCCCAGGCCACGGTTTTTACCTCACCTGATCATGGCTCTACACTATCCCTACTTGCCCAAATGAGTCACATATGATGGTCCTGGACTCCTCCGAAAAGGTAAGCCTTCAATAAACTATTTCTAATTTGTCCTGGTCGTGGTGTTTTGTCACGGCAATAGAAAGTTGACACCGGATTTTCTTCATTAGCTTCCTCAGGGTATCCTTTAAGCCTTCTACCTTTCCCGAGGGCAGTGTTTGTCAGACAAACTGTATTTGCTACCTAATATCTTGGTCATGATTGAAACACTGGAGATTCTGGGAGAGTCCAAAATGGGGACAATTGCTTGTGAGAGTGCCCTGGCTACTTCTCAAGCCTTTTCATCGTGGACTGGAGAGGCTTCAGCTCACTCACTGAGGGTAGACCCATATGCAACTGAAGACTTGGCAGGTGGGGAGCTCAGTGAACTACATCATCCAAACCTGTCTTAAGGAAGTGGCCATGTCTGTGCGTGGTTACAAAAAAAGATTTTTCTGAAGCACATACCATGCAGCCCCCCAGGAACTCAGGAACAATTGAATAAGTCCCTTTCCTAAGAACAGGTGATTGTGTGTTTCTCCTCACCTCGTCTGACCACAGAATCATGGGGCTACTTTTCAAGCCTCCATAGAATACTCGGAGGACATAGTTGAGGATTTCAGTATGCAGTCATCCTTCAGGACCACAGAGGAACTCTTTCCCAGTTGCTTTCTCCACTGCCTTGGGGCCAGATTGAGGTTTACAAGGTATCCATCAAACAGAGAGAGGGGAAAGTTGTCAACAAAAATAAGGCCACTAGGGCTGTGACCCTGGCAGTCTAGTCACCTAATCTATTCCCTCCACTGACACCTGAGTTTTCCCTTTGGTGTCCCCTGTAGCAGACATGGTGACACTGTTCATGTTTTTAATGACATCCATGAGAGACAAAACTTGTGGTTAATATTTGGTGGAACTGCTCTTGGAGTTCAGCAAACCTCTTTCCTTCCAGATAGCAGCATGAGCATGTAACACAAGGAAGGTATGTATTTACTCAATAGAAGGATTAGGTTCTTTACCAAGTCTGTGTTCTACTTAAGAAAGACTGATATTGGAGTCTACTTAATAGCCAAAGAGATCAAGTTTTTAGGGAGGGAGGGGGGTGTACAGATAGTGGTGGGAGATCAAAGAGTCATTGTCAGTTCCTGGAGGTACTGGGGTCATCTTGGTTTCAGAGTTCAGTCGTTCACATAGGTATGCTATGGACCACCTGTGACCATCCAATGGCCAAATGGTGACTGTTACTGACCCTGCTTTTTGGTAATGTGCAGTTAAAAGAGCCTGTCCCTCTTGAGAAGCCCCAGTGCTAGGGATTTCTTAAGCCTATCAAAAGATTGTTCCTTAGTCCCTCGATTACAAGAGGTATGGATTTGGGACCCTCATTTAGTTTCTCACAGACTGGCCTGGTTATTTCTTTAAATGCTGCAATCCATATTTTGCAGTACACTGTTCCAGAAAAGCCCTAACATGTCTCCTATTTTATTTTTTTCGATGCAAAAGCAAAGAGTCTTTTATTAAAGTTATTTAACGAGCTGAGCCCATTAGCTCGGGCCCTTCACTCCACCACCAAGGCCGATGGCTGAAGAAAGACCATGTCTCTTATTTTAGAGAGGAAGTAAATACAGATACCCTGGGGTCAAATGAAGATTCAGTAATCGAGGTTTGTTTGTTTGTTTTTTGCCTCACAAGTTGAGTCCCTAGAAACTTTTCATCCTTTTTGAGCTACAAAGTTTAAAGTCTGTACAGCCTGTTGTTTGACTGGTGTCTGAAGCAGTCGAAAGGAGGTCATCCTCATACAGGATTATGGTTACAGAGTTGAGTGTAAATCCCCAAGGTGCCACCCAGTCCAGGGTCTGACCAAAATAGACAGGTATGTTGCTGTCATGCATCTGGAATAGTCCAATGAAAGGTGACTAAGAACTGAGAACCCTGGCTTTTAGAAAAGACAGGCACGCTGGCAAACCAGAAACCGGATTTGTGCTGTCTTAGGGCCCTCCTCCCAGCTGCACTGTTCCGATCCGCCTTCACCGGACAGCTGGCCTCCAGGTTTAGGAGCGTGCACACACACACACACACACACACACACACACACACACACACACACACACACACACACACACACACACACACACACACACACACACACACACACACACACACACACACACACACACACACACACACACACACACACACACACACACACACACACACACACACACACACACCCTGGTCTCATCTGCTTCAGCACACGGATCTGGGGTGCAAACTTATGCAGCTTTGTTTTTATACGTCATTTAAAGCGCGCCGGCTGTCGAGACTTCTGGGAAATGGAGTCCGTGCGAAGACCCCCACATTGATTGGAGCCCACAGGCGGAAGACCATTGCGCAGGCGCACTGCCTTCCCGGCCCGAGGCGGTGCGGCGTTCGCAGGTTCCCAGCACTCTTTTGGAAGGTGAGGGCTGCGGGTCTAGGTCTTCGAGATGCAGAGTGAACGCAGCAGCGGAGAGAAGGGAACCCTGGGGACTTGGGGTGGATTCGTGGGCGTGACCTAGTGGAGCTAGCTTTCGTGAGAGCCGCGGACGGAGAGTCGTCCTGCCCAGTGTGCGTAGATTACTTAGGGCAAAGACACGGCTACCTGTGTCCTTGTTGGGGTACGCCCACTGTGTGTCAGAATCCTGTATTTTCAAGTTGGAAGTCCCGGTCTTCCCCCGTCTTCTTCTAGTTCCTTCTTTCCATAATGGGTGCTTCATGAATGTAGGTGGTACCGACCCTGAATCTAGGGGTGTCCACTCCACTCTCACCCAGTCCCCCAGGATCAACGTCTCTCGTTGGGTCTTTCGTTCCTCTTCTCCAGCCTACGCGGGAATACCCTGGCATGAGTTTAGGGTATTCGTGGAGGAGGCCGGATTTGAGGTGAAGAAAACCCCCAAAGGAAATGGCAAATGGCATTAGACAGATTTGAGATGATTTTGACTAGAGTTCACTGTCAAGGAATAATGGGAAATAAGGGTGAAGAAACTATACCGAGGCCAGACAAGACCCAGAGTATCAGGGTAAGACTCACCAAGCAGGGTACTGTGTGGTCTTAAATGATATAAACACAAACCAAATTTGAAGGAACAATTCTAGAGGTAACATTCTGACCATCATAAAGTCGAATTATCCCAACTTAGGACCAACCACTGGCAGCCATCATATGTCTGGAAGTCCAAGTGATGGCCAGTTGACTATTAACTCTATTGAAGTTGTTTGCGGTTTGCCAGTGATCTATTCCCTAGTTTTGTTTTGTTCTTACATTTATTGCATTAGAGATATGGCCTTTTTTTTTTTTAATAGCTTACCCTGGTGATAAGCCGGGAGTCCTCAAGCCTCAGCCTGCCAAGTGTTGGCATTGCAGGTCACCATACTTCTATTTCCCATGTAACTTCAGTCATGCATATCAAGCTTCCCAAAATGTTGGGATGTGTTGCAGGATTTTCTGTTTTAGTCTAAAGATCTGCTCAACTTTGTGGCTATCTTTTGATGAAAGTATTTTTTTTTTTTTTGGTTTTTCGAGACAGGGTTTCTCTGTATTGTCTTGGAAGCTGTCCTGGAACTCGTAGACCAGGCTGGCCTCGAACTCACAGAGATCCACCTGCCTCTGCCTCCCGAGTGCTGGGATTAAAGGTGTGCGCCACCAACGCCCGGCATGATGAAAGTATGTTAAAAGCATTCAACCTGAGCCTTTTACAGAGCCTGAAAGTCCTATAGTACCTCTTTTATTGATGTATGAGGATGAAATTAAATTATCCTTATTAAAAGCACTTAGCAAGAGCCTCATGAAAGCAAGTGCCAGCAATACTGGTTAGGGTGATGTTTAATAGCACTCCATTGTGTGTCTAGCCTCTAGGCAATAAATTATTTAATCAAGTTTCCTGTTGTAGATGCTTAATAGAGTTCAGACTTTAGTTGCATTGCTTAAAGATTAAATGGGATGATATGTGTAATGCGCTTAAGAAGTTGGCTGGCAGACAACCTTCAATAAAGATGATGTGTTGGTCATGGTTAATTACAAGCTCTGTAACTATTCTCTCACATTTCTAGAATAAATTCCTAGAACTGGCCCATCTGAGAGTGTCTGTGTTTGAAAGTCCTTGTATTCGTCACAATGATCTTTGTAAAGTATGTTTCTAAAGAGGACATGACCATGCTCAGACACCACTCCCCAAGCTCCTTCGATGTACATATCTAATGAGGACATGACCATGCTCAGACACCACTCCCCAAGCTCCCTTTGATGTAGTTTGACCTCTGCTGCTTTCTCCAGGCTCATCTTTTCTCCAGCATTGCTCACAACTAAGACTTACCTCATTTCAGTAGTAATCCTTCATGTGATAAGGGTCTGCCTCTTATTTCTACTCAAGTTTTTCCATGTCTGTAATGTTGCTCCTTCCTCACATCAAAACCACGTATCCCAGTTGTGCCAAGAAAGCTGCAGCATTTCTCCCTCAGTCCTTCCTCCCTGGGCTGGGGGAGCCACTTCAAAGCCCTGACAGTTCGCCCTGTAATTGTCTTTATAGTACCAACCTATAGTAAATGTTACTTTGTTTCTTTGGTCTCTATATATAGCTTTTGCTCCTGGAGGGCAGGGAAAGTGTATTGCAGGGTTGGTGCTTGGTGTTGCTACTAAATAAATGCTGACTAAGTAGATGAATGAATCACAAGGAGCAGTGACATATTCCTTTGACTTCAATAAAGTGGTCAATAAGCCACAGATGCACCTTTCCTCTTCCTCCCAGAAGCATACATACTGTCTCTCCACCCCACCAGGTGTTCCCTAAATGCTTGCTCTCCTTACTTTCATTAAACTCCCTTTTTAGGGGAAAGAATTGAGGTGGTGTTTTCTGTGTAGCTCAGGCTGGCCTTGAACTTAGGATGTAATCCTGACTGGTCTTGTATTTGCATCATTCCTGCCTTGGCTTCTTCTTGAGTGCTGAGATTGCAAGTACTCGCTGCCATACCAACCAGGCTTTAGTTAGACTCTTTATCGTGAGAAGGTGAGGTGCATTTAGATAAGCTATGCAAAGGGAGGTCGGAGAGGATAAGTCGTCTGGGAATCCCAGGGTAAGTAAGACTGCAGTGTGTGGGAACTGGAGCTCACTGCTTATTGACTAGAACCGGTGTTTCACCTGTAATGTGAGCCCCTAGTAACTCTGCTCCCTGGTCCCTGAGGCTACTGCAGTACCTTCTGATATCTTTTCATAAACACCTGCATGTTGTTGCAACATTTTAAAGTTCATGTTCACTAAGAAGGATGCCATTTTCTCATACCAGATCATTTCCATCATAGTTTTTGTCAACTGGATACAAACTTAGACATACTTGGGAAAGAGAATCTCAATTGAGTTGCCTCCATCAGATCGATCTGTAAGCATGTTTGTGCAGGACATTTTCTTCCTCCCTCCCTCCCTCCCTCCCTCCCTCCCTCCCTCCCTCCCTTCTTCCTTCCTTCCTTCCTTCCTTCCTTCCTTCCTTCCTTTCTTTCTTTCTTCCTTCCTTTCTTTCTTTCTTTCTTTCTTTCTTTCTTTCTTTCTTTCTTTCTTCTCAAGATAGGGTTTCTCTCTGTAGCCCTGGCTGTCCTGGACTTACTCTGTAGACCATGCTGGCCTCAAACTCTGCAAAGTCACAGAGATTTACCCGTCCCCCCCCCCTCCCGCCTCCCAAGTTCTGAGATTAAAGGCATACATACACTGCCTCCATCCGGAGTATGGCTCATTTTCTTAATTGTCAGTTGATACGAGAGGGCCTAGCCCACTGTGGATAATGCCATCCCTGGGAAAGCAGGCCTGGGCTGTGAAAGAAAGTAGCTGAGCAAACCAGTAAGCAGTGTTCCTCCATGGTCTCTGCTTTAGTTTCTGATCCAAGTTCCTGCCTCTCCTCCCTGAGCTGCTTTTGGTCCGTGTTTCATCAGAGCAGGAGAAAGCAAACCAGGATGTCTCTAGTAGGCCAGTTAGTTACTCACTAATTACTAGTTCCTAGTTGGTTACTCACTAATTGCCCAGCGTTGATATGATCAGTGTGGTTCTAGAAATGAGATGAAGAGTCTTACAGTTAGTATCAAAGATGGATGCTTCATTAGTAAGAACTGTAAATGGAGTGCTACTCCTCTAAAGGGGTTACAGGTTTTATTTGTCTTATCCATATAGTCATTTTTAAGGGTGCTTATGGTTTTTGCTCAGTAAACATTCAGGGCAAAATTAAATGTGAATATGTGAATATCATAGGAATCTTACTGTGCTCTGACTCCTGGGAACAGAACTCTGCCCTGGAGATAGTGGTATAACAGACGCTGCCATGGTTTCGATATCTGTGACTTTTGTTCTAAGTCTGGAATGAGCATGGAGTGCTCTTGGCCTTGCTTTGTTTGACCTTTATAGGGTGTTGGGAATGAAGGTGGCTACATTGCTCACTGGTATATGGAGGGGCATTGTCACGTGGGTCAGAAGACCCCAGGTCTTTCTCATACCTTCTCTCCTCCCACACTTTTTCCTCACGAGGACTCTGTTCTTCCCTTCCAGGACAGCGTAGGAGGGAATGGCTGCTGTATCTCCACCTACTAGTTGCCAGGTGAGGTGGACATTTTTATTTCTGAAATACTGTTATTGACACAATGTAGTCACTTCTTTCTTTATCCTGAGCATCTTCCTTCACGACCCTCCACCCCTAGGCCAATGAAGGGCTCCAAAGTAAGATGACCTTCAGCACCCTGAGCCCGTGGCCTTCCCAAAAGCTGACAGAAAGGTCTGCATGGAGGATTCTGCAATCAGTGGTTCCGTCCTAATTGTCCCTTTGGTGCAGCAAGTTATGGACTGAGAGTCAGCCCCCATATGCCAAAGAGTGTTGGGTTAGGCTGGAACTTGTGGTGAATGCTATAGGCACTCAGAGTTAGACCCTGTCTCAAGAAAGAAAAGGGTTGTAATGGAGTGTGGTTGTGTTTTCAGACATTGGTGACATTTGAAGATGTGGCTGTGACTTTCACAGATGAAGAGTGGAGGCATCTGGTCCCTGTGCAGAGGGCACTCTACAAGGCAGTGATGCTGGAAAACTATGAGAGCATCATCTCACTGGGTAAGGAGGCTTCCTGTGAGGAGTGGGAACTTGTCCCAAACCAGTGTGGGTCACATGGGCTCGGGGTCATTACCTCTTTGACCCCACCTGAGTTCAGAGCCACCTGACAGACAAAAGAACCTGTGTCTCCCCTGTGTCCCCCCCCCCGTCTCCCCTGCGTCTCCCTCTGTCTCCCCTGTATCTCCCCTGTGTCTCCCCTGTGTCCCCCCTGTGTCTCCCCTGTGTCTCCCCTGTGTCTCTCTTCTGTCTCCTCTGTCTCCCGTGTCTCCCCTGTGTCTCCCCTGTGTCTCCCCTGTGTCTCTCTTCTGTCTCCTCTGTCTCCCCTGTGTCTCCCCTGTGTCTCCCCTCTCTCTCCCAAGGCAGAACCCTATGCATGGGGAGCTTAGAGCTCAGGCATTTCCAGGAGTGGGATCTCATTTTGTTCATATAGCTATGGATGTGATTGCTTCTAGAAATTGATATAAAGAATGCAATAGGATTGCCAGTTCATACAGCACACCAGGAGACATTTCTCATACTATTGTGTGTTAAGAGCAAAACATTAAAAATAGTAAAATGTCTGTTGATAGAGATTTGCTAAATTATTTATTCATGCAATGTACTATCAGATAACCAATGTATAATCATATAGCCATTAAAACATTGTAGAAAATCTGCGCTAAATAAAATTACTATTTTAAATTCACTACCTGGAAAGAACTACAAGTCAGTAGAATTTAACTATCCAGCTTTTTAAAGTCTTATAATATGTTTCTTTATTCACTTGGGGAGGCGTACGTGTACTACTGTAACAGCACATGCGGGGGTGAGAGGCCGACTTGAGGAGTTGTTCTCGCTCCCACTGTGTGGGTTGTAGGGAGTGAACCATTTAGCAGGCTTGGTGCACCCACTAAGCCGCCATTATCCAGTCTTTAACAGAATCGCATGTAAGGTCTTTCAGCATCCAAATGAAGAAAAAGAAAGAAATATTAATAGAAAGCATGAAGGGTGGTTTTTCTTTTTACTGAAGATAACTCTAATTTTACTACAGTGAACACAACCGACTTGTTTCCATAAAAGCAATATACTAAATATGAGCAAACAAACAAAATTGAGTTCCCTCTTTGTGCTTTTTCAGTCAAGATGATCTTTTTTTTTAAATATTCATCTCTATCCTGCCAGTGTCTGGATGGAAAGCCTCCGTACGCTGCCTATGAATTGAGGTGGCTTTTGTGGGCACTGCCCTGGTGCCTGATGTTTGTCCTTTTGAAGAGCCTCAGTTTGGACCTTCCATCAAAGGTGTCTTTGGTCTGTATTGTACGTTTCTGGAAGAGTCTGGGCTTAGAGACCAGGACTGAGTTTTGGAATGGTTAGGTATTTCATCACAGCAGTCACCTGCTTTACATTCTCTCCATGAGCAGGGCTTCCCGTTCCTCAGCCTGATGTGATTCTTCAGTTGAAGAAAAGGGACGAGCCACGGACACAGGGTCTTCATGGATCTGAGGAGAAAGAATGGCCAGAGAGCATCTCTGGAGGTAACCAAGTTTGAACGGGATGAGCAGCAGAGTTTTGTTTGTTTGTGTTCTTTGGGTACGGAGGAATGTTAGGGATCACCCTTTTCTCAAATTCAAGTTGTCTGTGTGCGTGTTTGTTCCCTGTCACTCACCAGGTCTCTGGCTCCCCCGTCTACACACTGAAGTGTAATGTGTCTGTGTTCACCATCTTGTTCTCAGAACTGTCACTCTGCCTGTGTGCACCTCTTATATTTGTATTGGTCTCCCAGGTCCCTGCAGCCTACCCTAGTTAAGCTGTTGGCCCCACCCGCAGAGCCACTCTCCTGTATTCTGAGAAGTCTGTTGTCACATTCCCTCCCTGCCCCCTCCTTTATTCCCAAGCCTTCGGCTTTCCCAGAGTGTAGGATTCTGGGAAGTGAGCTGTGCTGCCATAGTGTCTCTCCTCTGTTGTCTCCTAGTCCAGAGAAGAAAGTGCATCTCACTTTTCTCTTTGTTGCAGACCAGGAGACTCAGCCAGAGAGCCCAGCTGCTTCAGAAGGAACGCTGGGAGAAAGCCATAGAAGGCAAAGTCCTCTATGTCCTAAACCTAAAGTTCAAACACTAGGAGGTGGGTCAGAACCAGCAAAGGAAAGTCTTGAAGCAGAGACTTGCAAGAAACCCCTTTCCCTGGACAAAAGCTTGCAGTGCAGGACAACCCCATCCAAGAAAACCCTCACGAAACAGCAAGACCAGGAATGTAGTGACTGCGGGAAGACCTTCTTTGACCATTCGTCCCTCATCCGCCACCAGAGAACTCACACTGGAGAGAAGCCCTACGACTGTCCTGAGTGTGGGAAGGCCTTCAGTCACAGGAGCAGCCTCAGCAGACATCTGATGTCCCACACAGGAGAGAGCCCGTACGAGTGCAGTGCGTGTGGCAAAGCTTTCTTTGACCGATCGTCCCTGACCGTGCATCAGCGGATTCACACAGGAGAGAAGCCCTTTAAATGCAGTGAGTGCGGCAAAGCCTTCTTTGACCGCTCATCTCTTACCCGCCACCACAGAATTCACACCGGGGAGAGTCCCTATGCCTGCCAGCAGTGTGGGAAAGCCTTTAGCCAGAAGAGCATTCTCACTCGTCACCAGCTGATCCACACTGGCAGGAAGCCGTACGCATGCCGTGAGTGTGGGAAAGCGTTCTACGGGGTCTCTTCCCTAAACAGACACCAGAGGGCGCACGCTGGGGAGCCGCACCACCAGTGCAGCGAGTGTGGCAAAGCTTTCTTTGACCGCTCTTCTCTCACGCAGCACCAGAAGATACACACTGGAGACAAGCCGTATGAGTGCCGCGAGTGTGGGAAGGCCTTCAGCCAGAGGTGCCGGCTCACCCAGCATCAGAGAGTTCATACAGGGGAGAAACCCTTTGAGTGTAGTGTGTGTGGAAAAGAGTTCAGCTTCAAGTCCTCAGTTATTCAACATCAGAGGCGTTACGCCAAACAAGGGACAGAGTGACCAGGGGAGAAGCGTGAGCTACACAGAGGCTCTCCCTGTCACCTGCAAGCCCAGCATTTGCTCGTTCTGCCTACTGTGGCTGCCATCGTCCCACCTCTGCTCCGCAGTGTCTGAGTAAACAGCGTGCCTACTGCGCTACAGAACTAGCGTGCAGTGCAGAAGCTGAAAGATGAGCCTCCAGATTCAAAATGGCGGACAGAGGCTGGGTGTCGCTCACGAGGGAATACCACCTAGTGTGCACGGGGCCCTGCTGTTGGGTCCCCAGCACTGCCAGCGAAGGCGGGATGGAAGTTAGAAGGGGAATTTGCAGAGTTACTTTGAGGATGTAGGCCCGGTATCACTGCACTTGAAATAACTGCAGGCTATCACAGGAGGGGAATGTCACAGTTATGGGCGAACACCATTTTCTCCAGAAGTTTCTATAGTTTTTGGTCCTTTTGAAGCTTTTGGAACACAGGCCTTGTTGTCTCGTGCCCTAGCGTTTAACCCTCCTAGTACTGGTGGTAGTGGTAGCACTTACTAAGCACTTACTTTGGGTAAACACTCAGCAGAGAATTTTAGGAGGGCTGGACTGACTGACCCTCTAACTGAATCTGTGAGACAGGCCCCTCTGCTGTCTGACTCTCACAGAGGAGCACAGTGAAATTTGCAGAGATTAAGTTATATGCTCTGGGTGACACAAGGTGAAGGCAGGTGTCTTAGTTTTCTATTGCTGTGAAGACTCGATGACCAGGGCAACTTACAAAAGAAAGCATTTCATTGGGAGCTTGCTTACAGTTCCAGAGGGTGTGTCTGTGACCTTCATGGCAGGGAGCATGGCAACAGATAGGTAGGCATGGTGCTGGAGTAGTAGCTGAGAGCTTACATCTGGTCCACAAGCAGCTGGCCAAGAGATGGGGAGACACAGACAGACAGACAGACAGGCAGGCAGACAGTCAGTCAGACAGTCACGCTGATCTTAGCATGGGCATTTGATACTTCAAAGCCCACCCCCAGTGACATAGCTGCTCTATCAAAGCCACACTCCCTAATCATTTCTAAACACTACCGACTGAGAAGCAAACATTCAAATAAATCTATGAGCCTGTGGGGCACGTCTCATTCAAACCATCACACGCCTCTCAGTTCCACTCAACTGGTCCTCATGCTGTGAAACAGGTCCTTTTGCTATGTGAAGCTTCAACGGTGTGCTTCTAACATACCCTAGACAACACAAGGTGAAACAAGGTCTTTGGTATGGGTCTGCCTCCAGTGTTTCTACTATAGTTTGCTCTTAAATTTTTGTCTCATAATTTATATGCCCGAATTATCGTCTGAACTGGATTGTAAGCACTTAGAGGTGTGATTTAAAAGATCTCTAAATCTTACACCGTGCCTTGCAAACTTTAGGTGTTCAATAAATGTTTATCTAAATTAATACCAAGGTCTCTGTATTCAAAACCTGCTTGGGTCCACCTCCTTTCTGAGTTTTTACAATCCAGCCTATCGCATCCCAGGAGTCACTTCCCAGTTCTATTTCTTCATTGCTCAAGAAACACTTACTAAGCTGTAACACAGTAACAAAGAAGCCTCCAGATAAACAAAGACCTATGTAGCAGTCTGTCCATTCATTCTGTACCACCTGGGACCCACACATCACCACAAATAAGGAAGAGAAAGGATATTTTTATCATCTAGGTGGCATTCTGATCACTTCTAGGGTCAGAATCCACACCTGAAGGCTAGGAACACAAGCAGGCACCTTGATATCTGAGTAACACTAGAAGCCACTGTCAAAGTTACATTTTGCACATCATTTAGCTTAATATTTCCACATGGCCCCTCTCTGCCCATTATTCCAGATCTAAAATACTAGTTATTGAATGAAATATCTCTGATATTTAAATTTTTCCTTAATACACTCCCCCATCCCCAAATTTCAGATCCTGGGTGTTGCAGGATATTTGATCACAATGTGAAACTCCTGAGACTGTGTTAATAAAATTAACCTTGGATTAGGGGGCAGAGCAGTGCCTAGTTGACAAGAATTAGCCATAGAGTATTTGGAGGACCTGGTAAGATGGATAGAGACACATACAGGAAGGAGTAGGGAGGGACTTAGAGATTCATGGTCCTTTTTGGCTTTGGATGATATTGAAAGAAGCTCTCTTGCTGGGTCTCTGGCAAAAAAGAGAGGTCAGCTGGTTGCTTCTTTGATCTAGCAGGTTTCCAGTCCCAGTATCTGACTCCTGAATCTTTGTTGGTAAATAGAACAACTTACATAAAAACAACACCTGAGTACCCAAAGCCATCTATTTCCTAAGTGAAGCCCTGTATTTTTGTTGTATTAAATGTCAGGTATGAGGAAACCTCAACTCTGGGAGTCTGTGTCCTCTTTTTGCAAGGTAAGGCCTGGAAAAGGGCTTGTGTATTCCAGTTGATCAAAGTGGGTTTCTCTTGGAACTAAGAGGAAGCAGAACTGCCCAACAGTCCTCTCCCATGCTATGAAACATAAATTCATTTAGATCTTTCTTAAAGCAGAAAAGTGTCAGGGAATACATTTTTTGTGTGTATTTTATATCATTTATAAGCAGTGTGAAGAAAATATCACAGGCTTTGTCTGTAGATAATGCCTAATGTTTCATAATGTCAAGTAAAAACTGAAGGGGACTATTGATTGAAACAAATGTCCGTTGACGGTCTCTGAGAGTTCTGAGTCTTTCCTTGTTCAAAATAAATTGAGTATTGAGTATCATATTTATTTAAGACACTGCCATTATCAGTGAGATGAGATGAGATTGGGACAAATCCAGAATCCTAATGGACTTTTGGGAAAAGTGGCTGAAAACAGTGGGGAGGTCAATCCATAGCTTCTTTTTGTAAAGTTGTTCTGCACTCCCAGCAGCAACAGCAACCTTGGTGCTTGTAAGCCTCTGCCATCAGCCCAGGCTATCAGTCAGTGAGTTTGCAACCTATGATCACTAGCTGTGCAGACCCCTTAGTTTTTCCTTTGTGAAATCTTTAGCCTATAGCTACCTATCACTGATACCCTAAGACAGGTTTTACATATGACTTGCCAACATGTGGCCACACCAAAACTGAATGTATTTTTCCTTCCTGCCGTTACTTTTTCTGTTTATTTTTTGGGAGTAAGTGGCCAGGCCTGGTTTATTGAGGTCTTTCCCAAAGCCCAGCTTTGGACTAACTGCTAACACTCCCACTCTGTCTCATGAGTTTGCCATGTTGATTTGCATGAACCCTCACAACTTGTTTTGAAAAACCTTGGCATCAAAGCGCCGGGCACTGAACCGAACCCTCTGCCCAAGAACCGGGGCCAGACCACTGGCTGCAAATGCAAGAGGTGATTTATTGAGTACACAGGCGCCTGCGGATGCTACTGCAACTCGGGTGCAGAGCATACCGGGCTTTCAGGGAGTACAATATTTATAGAGTTTCAATGGTTACATAAGTAACAGGCATTTCATTGGCTCATCTTGGGGGCAGGGGGTAGTTCCCACGGACTAAGTTTCCTGGTATTACTTTATGAAAGACCCAGGCATACTTCAGCAATTATTATCCTGGTCCCATGACTACTATGGTGATCATAGACACAACTGGGGGCAAGGGTAGTTGCCAAGGACTAGGTGTCCTGGTATTGTCATATGAAAGTTCCCAGCACGCTTCAGTAATTATTATCCGGGTCCCATGATTGCTATAGTGATCAGACACAATTGGGGGCCAGGGTAGTTGCCAAGGACTAGGTTTTCTAGTATTGTCATATGAAAGTTGCCAGCACGCTTCAGCAATTATTATCCGGGTCCCATGACTGCTATAGTGATCACAGACATCCTGTTTTGAGGGTGAGACACCTGGTCTGGGTTTCTTTCATTAGGCAACGGCCTGGCCTTGCTTTTCTTTTCCTAGGGGGTCCTGGGTAGGGGTCTTTCAGTTTGAGGTTCAGCCAGCAAAGAGAAGGACACAAGAAACTCCTAAGTAGCACTTTTGTTCTCAGCTCACAGACAGGAAGAGAAATGATAAGAAAAAAGGAGTTTTAATCTAAGAGGTGTTAGATCTAATAAGATTTGGGCATTATACTGAAGAAAGGACATTTGACATTGTGGTTTGTTCCCAGATACATGCGTAGATCAAATTTTCTCTTCCGTAAATATAAACTGGTTATCAAATCGGCTAGTTTCCTGTGGGAAGATAAGTGAGAACACACTAGCTGAAGATTCACCAATCTACAGAATCCCAGAGCTCATGAAGGTATATTGCTATAGGTCAGGTGAGAAAGTAGCTGACTACCACGCATACAAAATCTAATTAGAGTCCTTTATTAGCCATTGACCAAGAGGAGGCTCTTGTCCCCAAAGAACTCTTGGCACTGAAGCTCAGGCATACAATGTTTATTAAACAAAAACTACAATGATATTAATGTCAGGTATAGGTCAGGGGAACCTGCTAACATCTGTTTTGATAGAATACATCAGTTGTTTTGGTTATACATTTAGGCCATGGTCCGGATCAATGAAAAGTCTTGATGTGGTGACATTAAGGGTCTGGGGTTGCACAGAGATTCACCATGACAATAAGTAAACTTTAAGAAGAAGGGACTTTTTATTTAAGGTAGTAGAGTCCATGTGAGGCCAGGACCACACCTGAGAGTGCTCACAAGATGCAATACCTAGCTATAATAGCCCAGGACCTATAAAAGTAAGCCCCACACGGTTACATGTATTTTGTCTACATGTAAGAGGGTCTAATTTTAACATAAATGTCTTGCAGTTGTCCTAGTTATCTTTTTTAATAGAGTAAACAATTTTTATACAAAAGCAGAAATAGTAGTTACTCTTTGGGGGGGGGAGGTGAGACAGAGCTTCCCTGTTTAGCTTTGGAGCCTGTCCTGGCACTCTTCCTGTAGACCAGGCTGGCCTCAAACTGGTGGAGATCTGCTTGCCTCTACCTCCTGAGTCCTGGGATCAAAGGCATGTGCCACCACGGCCTGGTAACAGTTACAAATTTTTACAAGATCAATCAATTTAAGAATCGTTTTCAATGTCTGGGGAAAAGGGAAGTGGTCTGCTAGGGTACAGCCTGTATGAGGTAAGTGCTGTGCCCGCTGCGCAGCCTGTGTCCGAGAATGTGCAGAGGGTGTTGGGGATTGAGAACACAGACATCCGAAAGCTCCTCAAGAAGGCTCTCTTTTATTCCTACTCTGGCTGGTTATTATATACCCTGACACCAGAGGTGGAGATGGGTGGGTCTGAAGAGGCCGTTAGTCTTTGGAAAAGGTTGAGTACAGGGCAGTTCCGTGGCCAAGCCCTTTTCAGGAACTTATAGCCCCGGGCATTGTATTGTTTTTAGTAAACATGTTTTTAGTAAACATTGTCTTACAGCTGCCTGGTCCCAGGCTGATGGGGAAGTGGGTCTCTGGCCAAGGTCTGTTGTCCCCACAGGTAAGGACTTACATGTTAGAGGAATTTTTGTTTTGTTTTGCTTTTTGTTCTCTTAAGCCTAGTAAGTCCAAACCTTAAATGTAATGTTAACTATCACACTGACAAAAGCAGAAGTAACTATTCAAGGAGTAGGGGCTGAAAAGTAGGAGCCAGTGTAAGATCAGGACAAACACATGTTACCTTGGCCACTCCAATATGGTTAATAATAGTACCAGTTCAGTAACAGTTACAGGAACCTAGCCATTTCTGAGTTGTAATTTGTGGGGTTGAAAATCCACATTTCCTTACTCAGAGCAGTCTGGCACAGCATCTTTGATTACCTCATGTAATCTGAGGTAAAGCTCTGTCTCAGTTACATCAGGCCTGTCACTGAGACAGCCTAAATAAATCCTCAGTTTTAGTAGTCATTAACTTGGGGAGTGGAGAAATAGACCACCCCAAATTTATCAATACCTTGGTGCCTCTCGTCTACTCTGTACATAATAAACCTCATATACAAGCCTTGCCCTCCCCAGGTAAGATGGTCTTCACTGGCCATAGCTTCCACTTTCCTTGGTTTGCCAGCTTTCCAAGCAAATCACACACACACACACACACACACACACACACACACACACACACACGCTGCACAGCATGCATGCACGCACGCACGCATGCACAAACCACTTATCCCTGAATTATTAGCTTTTTCAAGCAAGGGCAACTGACAACCACACTAATTAAACCATTTAAAATGTTTAAGTACTTTTATTAGTGACCAAATGCAAAGGGAGCTTGTGCCTCAGAAGACTCTTGGTGTCCAAGCTCAGGCGCACAGCATTTTTTAAAGACAAAACCACAACTACATCAGTGCTGGCAGAGGGGGGGGTTACATTTCCTGTCGGAATTGGGGTGGCCTAGCAATATCTGCTTTCTTTGTAAAGTGCAGTAGTTATCTTCCAGACACTACAAAATACATCTGGGCCATGCTCAAGGTCTTGGGCACCTAGGTGGATGTAACTGTTGGGGGTAGGGAGCTGAGAAGTGTCTGGGAAGACACAAAATAAACTTGGGACAAGTTTATTTCGCAGGAAGTATCAGTTCCCAGTTTCAAGCTTAATGAAAGTGGAGTCTGGGGACATGGCACTGTGTGTAAAAGTGCCTGCCACCAAGTTGGATATGATGGATGTCAGTGTTTCGGGATGGGTTGGGACAGGATGGAACAGGAGTAGGTCAGGTATTCTGGCACTCGGGAGTCACAGAATACTGAGTGTTACACAGCTCAGGCTCAGGTGGAAAGATATCCTGGAGCTCGGGAGCCAGGGACCACCACAGGTTGCAGTAAGCTTGGCAGCTTAACAGCCTTGCCTCAGAGAAAGGTGTATCAGCTTCGCTCCAGGTGTTATCAGCTTCGCTCCTGCAGGACAGGGTCTTCCAGCTGGCGATGTTTGCCTAGTGTAGCAGTTTTGCTAGGCAGGAGGTTTCTCGGGCGAAGTTGCTACAGTTCAGTTCTGCTCCTGGAGAGCGGAGAGCAGGGAGCCTGGAGCCGGGAGCAGAGTGTAACAACTCCACTCTGCCAAGGAAGGTTTCCCCGGCAAGTGTTACAGTGCTGCTCACTCTGCTCTGCCCAGGGTCGCCTCTGCTCTGTCGCCACCACAAAACAAGATCTTCACCCAAAGCTCATACAAAGAGGTTTATTGGAAGGCAGCTGGACCAGCCAAGCTGAACATACACAGGGTTTATATAGGGATTCCTGGGGTTGGGGAAGTTTTTCCAGAGTAGGGATTGGTCCGATTTCAGTGCTGAGCTCAGATTGGCTAGAGCTCTGCTCCAGGATTGGTTACTTTTTTACACAGGATTAGGGTCAGATTTGGCTCTAGTTTCAGGGCCAAAGTGTGTTTCTTTCTCTGGTCCTTTTTAGCCTTTTGGCTCCAATTTTA